GCTGTTTGAAAATATATCTAAATTAATATTGTAACTTAAATTTAATTACGTGCTTTATTTATTAAGCCAATGACTAATCTTTTATGGCGCCTCGAAGTCTATGGAAATTTCTAGAATGTTCGCTACAATAGATTAGTCATTCTTACTTATTTCTTAAAGAAATCAATTTGGATATTAAAGATTTTTGTTCCCCTTACAGTAAAATATAATATTTATAGTGAAAGTTATTAATCTACATAATTTTCCAAGTTCTATAGTACAGTCGTACAGTACAGTACACTGGAAAACCTAACTGGCCCGCTTATCGCGTTTTACTATGGACATCTCGGTTACTTTAAGAAATGAGGTTCGTGGCCCGGATGAAGTAGCAGAGGTGGAGCTTCAGAAAAAGAAAGATAACCCGATTATGATCCAAAATAACTGTACAATTCTATCTTTAAAGAACTGAAGCGCACAATCTACGAGCCTTAAAGTGGATGGTTAATTGTCTTCAAAGCGGAAATTGCACATGCGCGTCAGAAGATCAAGTACGATGAAGTTTGGTTTGGTATGTGTCCCTCTTTTCAAAATTAAGTTGGTATGGTACAGTTATTCATACTACCGTTGAGTGAAGGATTATTACTCAGTGATACTACGTATATTAAACTCCGTCCAAAAATGTACTACTGACTTCATACAAGAGCTAAAATTAAAAATCAAACCATTTTTTTAAATTTATCGATGGTACCATTGTTAACCTTTGAACGCCAGCAGCTTGTTCAGTTTCCTACCCTTCATACTATTCTCCTTTTGAGCTTCTATAGTTTTTTCATATGTTGATTACAAAAAAATAGTTTCCATTGCAACTTTGTATTGTGAAATGGATACGTCCAGAAAATGTTAAGAACAGCGTCAATATCATGCTGAAAATCGGTAGATACCATTGAAGATAACGAAGGGTTTTCTCTGGGATTGTCATTTCAGGACGTACTGAGATCAAAATTTGGATCATTTAATTTTATAGTTTTTAAACAGAAGGATTAATTTTTGACCAGTGTTTGGCAAGAAATTATTCGAATTGTTTTGCTGAAACCGAGGCTGAAACTAACATCAAATTAATTTAGTGGAGATTACATGGCTTCTAAGGTTGATTGTGAATTACTGGAACTTAACAGTTGAACATGCTATACAGTTGAAAAACGTAAAAAATTATATCAAAAATTGACGTGAAATTTCGAACTGGGGTTGTATATTCTTAATTTACGTTAATTTAATTTTTTGTTGCAATTTTCACCTGCTGCTAGCAAATTTTTTAAAAGGGATGCGTCCACCATGTTGGTTTATCCAATTAATTTTAACTTCTGGACTAGCTTAGTACAACAATTTTTTCACTTTAAAATTTGTTAAATTAATCGTTAATTACTTTTTGCTACTGTTTCTTTAGTTCTTTAGTTTCAGCTTGCGCAGAGCAATTTTCTTACTCATGGACGAATTTTTCGGGAATGAGTTCCTAAATAATAATATTGGCAACAGCGGTATAACAAACCAAGGAATATATGGAAAGAATAAAAGGAATTGGGAAAGAAAGGGAATTTGAAGGTGATGAGATTTAGAGAGGAAGGAGAAAGGAAAGAGTAGAGGAAGTAAGAGAAGTGAAATATTTTGTATACCAATTGCTACGAAAAAAATGGGGCAAATGAACTAACAAACATGGGGGAAGTGGCGATGAGACAGGTATGGGAAATATGAGGGAGGAACGAACAATTTTTAAAGTTTTAAAACACCCTTTAAATCATTCTCATGTAGCAGTATTGTTGATTGTGGAAGATTTTTAGAAATTCAAGCCAACGGAGTCACAGGAACAGGGCCCTAAAGAAAAGCAGTCAAACGTCAAAAATTTTAAAAAATCTTTAATAACTTGAAAACCTTTGATGGTGGGTATAGGGAAATGCGGTATTAAACGACGTAGATTTTCATGTAGATTTCGAAAATGCGAAAAGTTGTTAAAACCGGAAATGAAACGATCTCTTTCGATAGGTCATGAAACACTATGTTGGTATGCAACTTTTCAGAACTCGAAATCTTTTAAGTAACGGTTTGCCTGAAACAGCCTGTATGATAATAACCGAAATGGCGAAGTTCACATAAAAAGAAAGATTTTTTCGTGCTCTTCCACTTAACCTCTGACGATTCGTCTATTGTGATTTTGTCTGCAGGATCCATAAACTACCCTTTAAATGCAGATAAAAGTATAATCTCTCACGGTTTCAAAAATTATAATTTTATATAACGATTTGTCTATTCTGAGTGTCATTTTTAAGCTAGTTCTTGTTTCATTGTGTGATTTTCTTCACATAGTCTAATTGTAATTTATTCAGGGTTAGGAAAAATTACCAAAACGGTCGATTATTTCAAAATATACATGGGTTTTCAAAAATGTCAAAAGTTGTAGGGCTGTTATATATTTTTTAAATCGAACTCCCTGTATATTATTACTTATTTTGATTGTCGATTCAATTTTGAAGATTTTTTATTGTTATACCTAAATGCACTAGTTTCGAATCTGGTAATTTTTTATAACCCTGGATGTAGGTATATATTAAGTTGGGTAGATATGTATCTGTATTTCCTAATTTGTGAAATATCCATTAAAACAAGTAACTATGGTTTTTCAGACGGGACAAGATTGAGTTCTAGGTGGGGCTGATCCCAGTCTGGCCACCCCTTGGCTATAGGCCTGAGATTAGGTGCTAAATTTAAAGTCGAATTTTTACACTGAAGCACTTTTGGGCTCATTATAAAATGAATTAATCCCAATTTTGAATTTTTCTCATTTCATATTGCAAAAAAAACGAAATGGCCACTTTAGACTTAACTTTACTACAGTAAAATTCAAATAAGAATGAAGAAATAGAAAGATAGGAAAAGTTGTATTTATTTTGTTTTGTAATTGTAAATTTAAATTACGTGTAAGACTATATTTATTCAGTTCTATCAAAAAATGCCCCTATCCAATGGAATTCGTCGTCAGTCACAGTCCACGCTGACTTTCTTTCGTATATACACAGGTTGTTCCATTAGAAAGGTGCGTTTAGTCGATATTTTGAGAATGACTTGGAGTTAAATAACATATATAAAAAAAAATATGTTTTAATTTGTAGCTTCTGATGATTACTGCAAATTACTTTATTTGATATGTGAAAGAGAAAATGATTATTTGGGGTGAAAACTCCAATATTGGGAAAAATCATCTCTTTCCTTGTCCCTACCGATGATTCACATTTTCCTTCCTGTCCTGTCTTACGGTATAGCACAAGCATGCTATACAGAACCACATCGACTTATGCTTAAATGGTTCATTTGGAGCAGTTTAGGCATTACGTATCATAGAAAATCTACAGGGTATCAAAATTATCGATTTGATTTTTCAAAAGAAGCGTTTGGTTAATGGAATCAAAAAAGTATTTAGTAGCAGGGGCGGACTGACCCGGGGGGGCGGATGGCGGTTGCCACCTAGCCTGTAGATCATACTGGCCCGTTGGAAATTTATAAGTATGTGCTGTATTTAGTTTCTTGCACTATTAATAAATTATTAACACGTTTCTCTAATTGGGGTTGATATTAGGTTGTAAAAAAATTCTGTTTTAATTGAAGTGTTTTACAATGAATTTATCATTTTTTGTCGTAGCATGAAAGTGCTGAAATACAATGATAGGCGACGCACCTCGTGTGGATTGTATATTTTGTTACTTTTAATTATCAGCTGCAATTTTAAAAAAACTGTATGGTAATTTTCTATAAGAAAACTTTTTTTCCGAGTCGATCTGAGACAATTTTTTTTTCGGGGCAAAAAAAAGGCAGTGTATAACCTTCCTTTTTTACCAAAAATCGACTACACCAAAATTTCTCGGGAAAACCAATTTCGAAAAAAAATTCAAAGGGCTGTAACTTTTGAACTAGTAGCCCAATCTTGGAACTGTTTGAAATTATGGATTCTACAGGCCACATTCTATAAGAAAAATTTTTTTCCGAGTCGATCTGAGACCTTTTTTTTTCCGGGGCTCAAAATTATTAACACGTTTCTCTAATAGGGGTTGATGTTAGGTTGTTAAAAAAGTCTGTTTTAATGGAAGTGTTTTAGAAGGAATTTATCATTTTTTGTCGTAGCATGAAAGTGCTGAAATACAATGATAGGCGACGCACCTTCCGAGTTCGAGAAAGGAGTATTGTTTTTGGGGTGCCCCCCCCCCCCCGCCAACTTCATCATTACTACACTAATACTTTAATGGCCCGTAACCTATGCAATTCCACCTGGCCCTTAAGTACCCAGTCCGCCCCTGTTTGGTAGAATTGTAGTGTAAATTATAAGTTATAGAAACGAAAAAAAGCAGACAAAACCGAAAAATTTGTAAGCCTTTTTCAATGACATTGCATTAGTAGTCAGAGAATGGAGAACTAAAAAGATACCATCAGGCATTTTAAATTTGCGTTATACAAGTTTATTGGTAACGTGGGCGTCCTTATTGATGATAATTGTTTTTTAATTCAATGCATTAATTTATTGAAAAGACAAAACGGGTAACTACTGTTTCTTTTCCAAAGAAACTATATTCCTTGGAATCTCCTTAACTCTACGTTAATTATGTATACATATAAAATGTTATGCTTGTCGTGAGACTATAAAAATCTCAACTGCCATTACTTTGATTTAAAACATTAACTAATGCCGCTAAAGATATGCAAAGTAAAGTTACTCGACCTGTAATTCCTGTTGCTTCTTTATTTTTTTCCATGAGGTTTAAATAAAGTCGCCAGAAGATTCGTTATTTATATAGGAGTAACACATTTGTTTGGTATTAGCGGGGATTTACTGTACGCATTTACATCGAGGTACGTACCTATAATTACGCAATTTATTACGAAATCTTAATTATTATCGTAAACTGTCAGTCTCAAAGCTATACACGATCGAATTACCAATTTGGTATTGTTAAAATATGAACAGGATGAAAAAAGCTTACCTTAGAGGACGTGAAGAAAATTAATGATCCATGCCTGTAATAAAAGAAGAATTAATTAATGTTTGGTTCTAAAATTGTAAACTATGTGGGAAAATTCATTCACTTTTGATTACTTTTTTACACGGGAGAAGCGCACTCGGCGGTGCGGAGTAGGTATTTTTGTTGTAATTTTGCGGTTGTTCAGGTTTACGAAAATTATTTCACGTTATAGCCTCGTCTTTGTTGGCGTGAGACCTTTACGCTGTAATAACGGTTACATTCTTCACGTTGAAATACAAGTTAGTGTTAGGAAATAGGTAGTGTTAATAAATAGTTAAAGAAGTTAGGTGCGATAAAAACTCCATATTGAATTTATGGCAAAATTGAAAATTATAACTTCACGTATAGCATTTGTGTTTAAAAGGGTTCTCGAGTTGTATTTCAAGTTACTTGTACCGGTGGCGCCTGCAGGTTTAAAGGTGATAATTTATTTAAAGATACAAGAAGTAGATTACACAAAGGATTCCCCACTTAAAAGTTTTTTGAAGGGTTCATGTTGTTTTGTGAGAAACATTTAGATCTGTAACTGAAAGTTGCTTTTTCAGATTGTAAAATAAGTAATTCCTGAAGTAACTTAATTTGTTGTACTGACTGAAATCAGCTTTCAAGTTAAAGAACCACCAAAGAGTCATGTTTTCAATCCACTAATGATAAGTAATGGATATAAAGCATTATTTACACTCTATCTATGGTAATAGGCATTGGGGGATAGTCAAGGTAAAAAAAGAAGAATATATAGCCGCCAAATAAACAGTTCCTTTACTTTCTCAGAGCTTTTTATTTCGTCTTTGAACGTAATTTTTTATGTCCTGGGTAAAGTTAGCAGCCAGTTTTCAGCAGCCAAATTGCCGAAGACGCCCCGAACGTCCAGTGGCGGAGGATAATTGAAACATTTAAAAAGTGGCCGCTGTGACAGCCTTAAAGTAATTACTAGAAGGATATATAGCTATACATTTAGCGACCGCCCGAGGAAGTGAAATCTGCCCCTAACGTACCAAAAAATTCGTTTAACCCTACACAAGAAAGGTTTCCAATTCTCATGCCCGTCAAAACGTTAAGATTGACATTCTGTATCACACAAAAATTGGAATTCGTTTAGCGACTTTCTGAGGGGGTGAAATCTGCCCCTAACGTACAAAAAAATTCGTTTAACCCTACACAAGAAAGGTTTCCAATTCTCATGCCCGTCAAAACATTAAGATTCGCATTCTGTACCACACACAAAATTGGCATTCGTTTAGCGGCCGTCTGAGGGAGTGAAATCTACCTCTAACGTGCAAAAAAATTCGTTTAACCCCACACAAGAAAGGTTTCCAATTCTCATGCCCGTCAAAATGTTAAGGTTCCCATTCTGTACCACACACAAAATTGGCATTCGTGTAGCGACCGTATGAGGGGGTGAAATCTGCCTCTAACGTACAAAAAAATTCGTTTAACCCCACACAAGAAAGGTTTCCAATTCTCATGGCCGTCAAAACGTTAAGATTCACATTCTGTACCACACAAAAATTGGAATTCGTTTAGCGGCCGTCTGAGGGAGTGAAATCTACCTCTAACGTGCAAAAAAATTCGTTTAACCCCACACAAGAAAGGTTTCCAATTCTCATGCCCGTCAAAACGTTAAGATTCACATTCTGTACCACACACAAAATTGGAATTCGTTTAGCGACTTTCTGAGGGGGTGAAATCTGCCCCTAACGTACAAAAAAATTCGTTTAACCCCACACAAGAAAGGTTTCCAATTCTCATGGCCGTCAAAACGTTAAGATTCACATTCTGTACCACACAAAAATTGGAATTCGTTTAGCGGCCGTCTGAGGGAGTGAAATCTACCTCTAACGTGCAAAAAAATTCGTTTAACCCCACACAAGAAAGGTTTCCAATTCTCATGCCCGTCAAAATGTTAAGGTTCCCATTCTGTACCACACACAAAATTGGCATTCGTGTAGCGACCGTATGAGGGGGTGAAATCTGCCTCTAACGTACAAAAAAATTCGTTTAACCCCACACAAGAAAGGTTTCCAATTCTCATGGCCGTCAAAACGTTAAGATTCACATTCTGTACCACACAAAAATTGGAATTCGTTTAGCGGCCGTCTGAGGGAGTGAAATCTACCTCTAACGTGCAAAAAAATTCGTTTAACCCCACACAAGAAAGGTTTCCAATTCTCATGCCCGTCAAAATGTTAAGGTTCCCATTCTGTACCACACACAAAATTGGCATTCGTTTAGCGGCCGTCTGAGGGGGTGAAATCTACCTCTAACATGCAAAAAAATTCGTTTAACCCCTACGCAAAAAAGATTTCAAATTCTCATGCCCGTCAAAATGTTAAGGTTCCCATTCTGTACCACACACAAAATTGGCATTCGTGTAGCGACCGTATGAGGGGGTGAAATCTACCTCTAACGTATAAAAAAATTCGTTTAACCCTGCACAAGAAAGGTTTCCAATTCTCATGCCCGTCAAAACGTTAAGATTCACATTCTGTACCACAGACAAAATCGGCATTCGTTTAGCGACTGTCTGAGGTGGTGAAATCTACCTCTAACGTGCAAAAAAATTCGTTTAACCCCTACGCAAAAAAGATTTCAAATTCTCATGCCCGTCAAAATGTTAAGGTTCCCATTCTGTACCACACACAAAATTGGCATTCGTGTAGCGACCGTATGAGGGGGTGAAATCTACCTCTAACGTATAAAAAAATTCGTTTAACCCTGCACAAGAAAGGTTTCCAATTCTCATGCCCGTCAAAACGTTAAGATTCACATTCTGTACCACAGACAAAATCGGCATTCGTTTAGCGACTGTCTGAGGTGGTGAAATCTACCTCTAACGTGCAAAAAAATTCGTTTAACCCCTACGCAAAAAAGATTTCAAATTCTCATGCCCGTCAAAATGTTAAGATTCACATTCTGTATCACACAAAAATTGGCAATTCGTTAGCGACCGTCTGAGGGGGTGAAATCTACCTCTAACGTATAAAAAAATTCGTTTCACCCCACACAAGAAAGGTTTCCAATTCTCATGCCCGTCAAAACGTTAAGATTCACATTCTGTACCACACACAAAATTGGCATTCGTTTAGCGACCGTCTGAGGGGGTGAATCTGCTCCTAACGTACAAAATAATTCGTTTAACCCCCACGAAAAAAAGATTTCCAATTCTCATGCCCGTCAAAACGCTAAGATTCTCATTCTGTACCACACACAAAATTGGCATTCGTTTAGCAATCGTCTGAGGGGGTAAATCTGCCCCTAACGTACAAAAAATTTCGTTTAACCGCACGCAAAAAGGGTTTCCAATTCTCATGCCCGTGAAAACGTTAGGATTCTCATTCTGTACCACACACAAAATTGGCATTCGTTTAGCGACCGTCTGAGGGGGTGAAATCTGCCCCTAACGTAAAAAAATTCGTTTAACCCCACACAAGAAAGGTTTCCAATTCTCATGCCCGTCAAAACGTTAAGATTCACATTCTGTACCACGGAAAAAGTTAGCATTCGTTTAGCGACCGTCTGAGGGGGTGAAATCTGCCCCTAACGTATACAAAAATTCGTTTAACCCCCACGCAAAAATGATTTCAAATTCTCATGCCCGTCAAAACGTTAAGATTCACATTATGTACCACAGAAAAAATTAGCATTCGTTTAGCGACCGCCTGAGGGGGTGAAATCTACCTCTAACGTACAAAAAAATTCGTTTAATCCCCACGCAAAAAGATTTCAAATTCTCGTGCCAGTCAAAACGTTAAGATTCACATTCTGTAACACACACAAAATTGGCATTCGTTTAGCGACCGTCTGAGGGGGTGAAATCTGCCCCTAACGTATACAAAAATTCGTTTAACCCCCACGCAAAAATGATTTCAAATTCTCATGCCCGTCAAAACGTTAAGATTCACATTATGTACCACAGAAAAAATTAGCATTCGTTTAGCGACCGCCTGAGGGGGTGAAATCTACCTCTAACGTACAAAAAAATTCGTTTAATCCCCACGCAAAAAGATTTCAAATTCTCGTGCCAGTCAAAACGTTAAGATTCACATTCTGTAACACACACAAAATTGGCATTCGTTTAGCGACCGTCTGAGGGGGTGAAATCTGCCCCTAACGTACAAAAAAAATTCGTTTAACCCCCACGCAAAAATACAAATAAACCTCGAAATAAACAGTTCGTTTCCTTTCTCAAAGGTTTTTTATTGCGTTTTGGACGTAACAGATGTGCTGGGTAATTATTTAATGAATGTCGAAACAGGCCATTAACTGAAAATCAAAATTGTTGTTCATCGAATAGTAGTCGTAACACAATTCTGAATGTAGAACTAAGAAATTGACGTACAGCTCTGGAATGTAATTTCTCGCAAGAAATATGTATTTCATACTCGTATTTCCATTTTCCATTCATGGAAATTCATTTCATAATTGATCATTTGGATTGCATCACAATGAATTGTTAATTTTAATTTTTCTATAAAAAATACCGGTATACATATGAAACCTGATATGAAACAAAAGCGTTTCCTACTTTATGCCTGAAAATTTACAAAAACTCTTTGATTCCATACCTTTTTCTTTGGTTGAAATTGCACCAAATCATGTCTACGGCCGTAACGCACACTCACTGAAGACAATTAATAGTTTAAATAACGACAATTAATAAATATCGCGACAATTGGGCCAGGTAAACGGTACGATATTGTTAAAATCCGACCCGAAAAGCGGCCACGATACAACTGGTGACGAATAATTCACATTTGCGCGTTATCATCTGAAACTAGTTTCTTTTATTCATATGGCATCGTATGTTTTGGTCATTGCATGTTTCAAGTAAACAAGTTACACCTGTGTATTCATTCGTCCAGTCATTATGAAGATAAAAATACGGCGATTGCGTATAATTCTGTCACATATCATCGATTTTGCAGAAAACTTGGATTTTGGTTCTACTTGCCCGTCTTTTCAAAGTGGACCATATATTTGAGATTGTTTTTGCTC